AATGAAAACACAATTATATATTAAATATAATTCAATAACATTAAAATAAACATACGATTATTTATTAATTTTTCATCACATTAATAAATAAATTTAACAAAATTTTTGTCTACTTTCTAGAGTATTCGTTGTAATTCTTGGTTTGAGTAGCTTTAGAATTTCTCAAAAATATGCATTTGTAAACTTGATTTATACTTTTGCATGGCAGAAATTCTTGGGTGCTGGTTGTTAGAATCGGATTAGAAAGGAGTATATACATATATTATATGCCTTGTATAAAATATATTTTAGTGGTATAAATAATAAGGTACAACTCCTAAACTATACTTAGATAGGTAATACTTATCTCTTGTCAAAAACATCTTTATTTGATTATTTATGACAATTTAATAGAAATCATCATAATTATTACATTTATTTCTTAATTTATTTACACATTATTGTTTATAACACCTTTATAAAAGGGATTAAGGATGGACTAAATGTCCCATTGGTAGGCATTCTCAGTCATTTTTACAATTATTATTGCATAATAAATTATTCATTTGTATATTTAGGTCAGGACTTTAAATTATTTATTTATTTCTTTTATTTAAATCTTTATTTGCATAAAACATGGTAGTACAGATAAAGTTCCAACATTTGTTAATGAGGATTCATGTTTAATCAATCCATCTATAAGTAAATATTTTGTCATTGTCATGCAACCAAAGTATTACAACTCATAATAATACAGAATGTCAGCATTTGAAAATAAAATAAGCAATGCTAGTCAATTTTTAATACATACAGAACAATGTCAAAAACCATAACTACTAATAAGGTCAAACTTATATCACTTATGAAGAAACAACAAGATACAACAAGAAATTATAACATTAAAAAAATATCTTTATTATATTATAAATTACATAAGTTAAGTATATTTAGTCCACCTAAAACAATGAGGCTCATAATGTTTTGAGCATATACTGCTAAGTTTTGTTGGTTACCCATAATTACTACCAGCAGCGATTATCCAACAGTTACGGATAGCTGATTCCTTAGAAAAGCTGTGAAATAATATATTTAAAAGAAATGAATATATAAAATATATAGTACACTTTTATATCAAGGCATTTAACAAAAAAAAATCAAGTATGTGTATCTGTGCATAAATACAATACCTATAACAATTAATACAATATCAATTGATTTAATTAAATAGCAAGTATATGTAAATGTAATGATACAATTACTCATACCAAACATTTAAAAAAATTATGTACATATTAAGCTTTAGATATAGTTAATTAATACATTTACAGCCTAAAATAGTTATGTCCTCCACAGCTGAACATAGACCTCCCACACAGTTTGTCTCCAAATAACTGCAGTTGCCAATTCTCCTGCCAAGCTAGGCAACTATCACAAAACCTATAACTTTTGACTTTTGATACTGACTAATGGTAACGGTGAGTATATTATCATCAAATTTTTTCTACATCATTAATTGAGAATATTATCTTATGTTGTTGTGTTATTGTGTACCTTACGATTAAGACTTATCTATTTATTTATTATTTTATCTATGTTTATATTTATTTTTATATTAGTATGACGTAATTGTTGCTAATGTATAATAGAATTAATGGAATGCAATAAAGTTTTGTGCATCTGATTTCAGGCAATACATATTTTGTGAAATTAAATATACTTTGCCCAATGTTTGTGTACTTGAATCCAAACATGTTTTCAGGTTGATACTTACATATTATTTGTGAGTTTGTGACGTCTATGTAATATGGAAAATGATTGAAGAGTTGTAGGGCAATAAGGAGTTTCCTTTAAAGCTGAACATAAAAGTGTATGTATATGTATAACATTATGTGATTTATATTTATGGACATAACTACTAATCACAATAACAATTATTATTGAACAATGCGAAAACATTATTGTACTCGCTGATATCCCTAAAGTTTCTATAATCCTACCAAGTCAAAAAGTACAAGTTTGTTATGACTTTAAGCTTTCGAATGACCGTTCAAATTAAGGAGCATTATCATGAAGAATTTACAATTTGGGAGTCCAAATATTTGACAAAATACATCACAAAGTTCATTAAACACATGAAATGTTACACTTTATATTCAAAACAATAGATATTAATCAGTACAAGTAGCAAATGTAAGCACAAAACAAACTTACCGATGAAAGGTAGTATTATCAATTTTTCGCTGACTGACGCTGTTGCATCCTAAAATGCTACAACTTACCATCTTTTTCACCTTACCTAATAACTAAGACCCACAAAAAACACTAAATTCAATTACCTGTTTGCTTATAATATCAATATTATTCAAAAGAGCTTGACATCGTTAATGTCAAATAAAGGAGGGAAAACAATCAAAAACGCATACCTAGAAAAAGACAAGAAATATAGATTTGCTTCTCCCTTACTCTTATGTCTAACTATATATGTGCATTCCTTTCACACGGTGATGACGTCACTGAATGTATAGTCTATAAGATCCTATGTCTATGATCAACATCAAGATATGACATTTAGTTTTGACAAACAATGCTGACAACATTGACGAATTACAATAATGCAGTAAATGTCTATCCTCGAATAATTTTATCGATATTACCTTTATCGATATATTGTTTATCGATATTTTTATATAATAAAAGTTGGATCTCTATACTGAATTATTTATGAGAAATAAATTTTTAACGTGGGGATTGAGTAAAAATGCCGATGAGGAAATGAAATCAATGTATTTTACACATAGCAATTTGTAATTATATCTCTACAATTGGGTACAAAAATATGTATAAAGAAAATATAAAATAAAAAACTCATTACTATACTAGTAATTAATTAAGTAAAAAATAAATGACGACTCTGTAGCGGAGTGGCTAAGCGTTTGGCTGCGGTATAGCAGGGCCGAGGCTTCGTTCCCACACTGAACAAGTGTTGCTATGCTGTAAAATAAATAGTCTGGGTCTGGATGCTTGTTTTCAACGTTTGTTTTGTTAAAGGTTAAAAATATTACGTTTTTAACACTGATTGGATTAAATTTCTTTTATGTGTAACAAATACTATGTCCAAATCGCTAGGCTTCTTCATAAAGGTAGCTATGTACATACTATTCGCAGAGATCGTTTTTAAATCGTCGCTTTCAAAATGAGTGCTCATTATAGCTAATGTTTGTAGATGAATCTATAAAAAAAATATTTATAACCAGGTACAAATAACTTTGAGTTTATTTATATAATCGAATTCTTACCAAAATGTGACTTTAGAGGGATATTATCTTTTGCTACATGTAAATGAAATCTAATTAACATACACATAATTGTAGAAGTTTAAATTAAGTGGACTGATAAAATAACAATTCGTTTTAGTAGGGTTCAAATTCAATGTTTGCCACAAATATTTTTTAACATGTGAATCTTTTCAATTGGTGCATGTGCCAGCTATTTCACCCATTGCTTGCATCTGAAAAAATAATATAATTAAATTCACATTTTTATGGAACAAATAAAATGAACAGTCACAACTGACTGTGTAGTTTCTAAGTATAGTTCGTTTCGGATTGCCATACCATCACACTATCAGATTTAGGAAATAGTGTGTTTGTATTTGTGCACACAATCGTACGCTATAAAAACCTGTCCTACGTAGATGGTTAATCCAAAAATGTACTCGCGTTAAATATCATATTACTATTACAGTTGAAATCACCACATACCTTTCATCATCTAAGGGAAATATTGCTACGAATAGCCTTTTCTTGTTATAATTTTTTCCGCTTCTTGCACCATTTAATTGGAAAGTTTTATAATGCATATTTAATTTTTTGACAATTCTGTAAATGAACAACGGCCCTGTTGTTATAGCAAAATTAAAAGCAATCTTAATAAATAAAATATATAAAAATATAATTGTTTGATTTGACATTTGAACCTATTTGATTTGACAATGTCGTTAATAGATATATTACCAAAAGCAGAAATAACAGATAACCGTCATTAAAATTTGACCCCTGTAGTACAATAATTTTTACTATGGAAGTTGCACCAGCCTGATAAATATAGCCAAGATCACTCCTGGCATTGCTCTCTTTGTTATTTAAGTTTTATTACAATCAGTTTAGCCATTTCGAAAGCAAACGAGAGAGAAAAAATTGAAAATAGTCATTTTGTTTTGGCATGCAAATAAGGTAACATATTTTATATGCAGAATTTTATGAATATAATAATCGTCACGTTAGGCTTAATGGGCGTGGATTCCTTTGTATTTGAAATAAAAACTAACGTCTTTCTAGAGGTGTTCCAGTTAAATTTATTGGTATCGATATTTTAAGGTACTAATGAAAGCATTTATTTCGCAAAATCGTTTTTCATATAGTTTTATATCATTAATGGCATTACAATTTAAAGCGTGAATAAGAATGAAATGTTACTATTGCACCAATGTAAATTATTGTAAGAGCTTTCATTTGTAAATACTAACTAAGACATTTAATGAATTTAAATCTAGAATACCAAATAAGTAACATAATACGCTATGTTAATTTTGAAACGTGCAGCTAATCCCTATAATTTTTTAAGAAGAAAACCACCATGAGCTTGATCTTGAACTTCTTAAATCAAAGCACTCACCTGAAATCTCAAAATTACTGAGTACTAATTCGATCCTCCGTGACCTTTGAAAATGTTTGTTAAATTGTAAATTCTATTAATTAAAATATTAGATGAATTAAAATATTGATTTTATTAATAATATCATTGATGACCTACAAGTTTAACAATAACTTTAAAATATTTGAAAGAAAGAGCAACAATTCGAAATATTTCTTGTCCCAATGAATTGAGAGATATATTTTAATATATCGTTAAAATTCCTTCTTTGCGTAAATATCGATTCTTGTAGTGTGTTATGCATCCATACCTTAAGTATCGAATATCGGTGTATGTCGAACATGGAAGTGGGACACCCCTACACCTACATCTTTCATTTATGTCCTACAAAGTGCACGGGTATCGTGCGTAATTGTATTTGGTCTTGGTAAGTAAATTGAAATCTTAATTTATTTCTTTAATCCATTACTCTCTGTTATCGTTCAGCATCTAAAATCATTAATATACACGTTATTTATAATTAGTATTTATTATTTATGTGTAATTAGTGCAACGTTGATTTCCATCACTAACATATCTTTTTTTCCAGTCCTTAAATTTCTTCGAAGTCCCTACTACACTCATCAAGATGGGTAGGGAGGACAAGGCTACTTGGAAGACTAATTACTTCACCAAAATTATCGTAAGTCCTATTTACCTTGTAATGTGTTATATTTTGGTTAGCCACGTTGGTGCGATTCTGTCTGTTCTAATACCTGAGAGCGTAATATTAGTTCTCTGGCTTCGCTTTCAGACTAAATTGACTTCTTCAAATTTATCCTAGTGTGATATTGTTCTCGTCAAATTTGCACTGGCATTTTGAAGATACATGTTAAAGTTTTGTTACCACTATTTAGTCTAAATGATATTGCATTTTAATTAGAAAGGTATTTCATTCATTTGAAAACATTTAGGTAATAAATTAATTTTTGTTATTTTCACTTAATATGTTATAATGATCATTTTAAATGGCTTATTATAGTATTTTCTGTGTTAGTGTTTCTTTATTTTATTATCAAGTTCTATCTTCTTATATGAATTAACATTATATATTCCTTGTTTCAGCAACTCTTAGACGAGTATCCAAAATGCTTCCTAGTGGGTGCAGACAATGTTGGTTCAACACAGATGCAGCAGATTCGTATCTCACTGCGTGGTCACAGCATTGTGCTTATGGGAAAAAATACCATGATGCGTAAGGCCATCAAAGATCACTTGGAGACCAACCCTGCATTGGAGAAATTGCTCCCTCACATCAAGGGCAATGTTGGCTTTGTATTCACCCGAGGGGACTTGGTGGAAGTGAGTATTTCTTTTTTAAATTATTATTTTAAATTTTAATTCATTAGGAGTAAAAAGAAATATAGATAAAGTATTTATTTGTTAAGTGTTAAAAATGTATTAAAACTTTTTCCCATTTTAGTAAATTGCTGCTGTACTCTCTGTTATAATCACTGTCCTAAAATGTAAAAAAACCTTTTTATGTTGAAAAGTTGTCCCTTCTCTTACTTTACCACACTCATAGAATAATAACTTGTCTATATGTTACTACTACTACTTCTACTTAATTAACTGTAAATTTAATTTGTAAGTAATACTAAGTAGAGTAAGCTCATTTACACTATTTACTCTTAACTTAGGTCCGTGATAAGCTGCTGGAGAACAAAGTGCGAGCTCCTGCCCGTCCTGGTGCCATTGCACCCTTGTCTGTGGTTATTCCAGCACACAACACTGGGCTTGGTCCTGAGAAGACCTCTTTCTTCCAGGCACTTTCCATCCCTACCAAGATCTCAAAGGGTAAGAGAGTACCTTTACATAATATTCCTTGAAACATGCATTTTTATGATTGACTTGGTTTCATGTAGTTAATTCTCATACTACATGTTACCTTACTTGTCAAGATGTTTGTATCTTTAAATTCATATAAAATATTAAACTGTTATTGTCTGTTCTAATACCAGAGAGTGTAATATTAGTTCTCTGGCTTCGCTTTCAGACTAAATCAATATCTTCAAATTTATCCTAGTGTGATATTGTTCTCGTCAAATTTGCACTGGCATTTTGAAGAGACATTTTACTTTTGTAATATCCACAAAAGCTATTAAAATCAATACTTGTATTATGTACTGCTTATTCTTAAACTTTTAAATGTTATGCCTTACAAATTTGCTTCCATAAAAATATCAATATTTTTGAAAAAAAAAATGTGATTATATGGTATGATGCTTCAAAAGGTTTGTCTAATAGGGTATTTTACACCATGTAAAAAAAAAAATCAAAGAATATATATTTATGATAGATTTTGTAAAAAGTAAACGAGAAATATTGATTTCTATTTATAAAAATGCATTGTAAATTTTATATTTCAATTTAAAGAATATTTTTTTTTACCTGTGCCTCAAATCTGCGAAACTATGTTTGCCATATTAGATAGCGTCATGACGTCACTAGGTCAAAGAACTTGGTTATGTGCTGTGTAGTAGCTAGGTAATTTTGAAATTTTTCAAGTTATCATTAATATTGTTGACTTTTATTCCAAATTTTATTGAAAAGGCATCATGGAAGACTGATTTTCATTACTTCGCTATTAGCACTAATTTTATAGATATTATAAGCTTAGGTGAGAAAAACTGTTATATTTTCTTGTACAAACCCTCAGACGAAATAAAAAGTCACTTTTTTTATTTGGTCTGAGTACAAACCATGTCTTTATTCCCATATAATAGAAGAAAACAGGAATTAAGTAAAACACTGCACTGCACTTGCAAGGGCTATCAAAATGGCCCATAAAGGGCGGGAGAGACGAGTGATTAAGCTAATTTATTACAAAATTTGACTGCAATAGGTACCTATCATGTCATGATGTTTTGTTTTGTTTAATCGATAGTTAAATATAAGTCATACTTACATCAAAGTGATCTTCACAAAAGTATAGTTTAGATTTTGTAGAAAATGACTTTGGGTCTGTTCTTGCCAGTTATTTACAACCAAGTATTTCCCATATTTAAATCAGTTGGCACTTTAATCCATAACTTCCCCGTCGTTCTTATGCTCGTATTTTTGCAATTAGGCACAACAACAATCATATAAATGATAACTCATTATTAAACATTCAAAAGTATCTTATTCCTTTGCAAAATTGTCAAAATTCTACAACAGTGATGTCATGAGTTGAACAGTATGGCGGCTAGCGTTTTTACGCGAAAATTTAAAACAATAGATTAAAAGTAAATTTTTATGTCGCTATTCGGTTTAAAAAAAATTATATAAAAATTATAGTGGTTCATAATCTGTAGGATTCATTTAAAACACTTTGAAAATAGGTGTAATACCCTATTGATGCAGTATCACTTTGTTGCAGTTGGAACTATTATCCCAGATATATGTATCAAAATCATTCAGGAACAATGAAAAAGAGTCATTTTTAATGTGTTAGAACTTCAGTTTTTACACATTCATTTTTAAAAGGAAATATTTACTAAACTAAGTTGACTCCAATATTGTTGTGGAAGCAAGATAGGGCACTACTATCATATTGTCTTGTCTATTTTTCTAATTCTGAATGGATAGTTTGTGTACCTAGAGCATGTATGTAGTCAGACTGTACCAATTTACGATTATATAGTGATTGTTCATACCTTATCTTCTCCTTTTTGTTTATGTCATTATGTCTACCCTATAGTAGATATAAAATAGTTGATTTATTTTTTTATGTCAATTGATGGGTAGATTTTTAAACAGCTCTGTTCTCATACAATGCTTCCACTGTGCAGGTACCATTGAAATCATCAACGATGTGCACATCTTAAAGCCAGGCGACAAGGTGGGCGCCTCAGAAGCCACCCTGCTCAACATGCTTAACATCTCTCCATTCTCATATGGTCTCGTGGTCAAACAGGTGAGAATAATATTTCTTCAAAAAATAATTGTATAATTAAGATTAAGGTCTAAGCACACATGATGCTGTGCCATGCTTCATCAGGAGTATAAAAATTATTTGTTTGATACATGTGACATCATATTATAAACTTCAGAGCTGCAATGGGTGGTGGTTGTCACTTACCATCAGGTGAGCCGCATGCTTGTTTGCTCCCTCTTCTATCAACAAAAATCATAGTATGCAAGCAACCTGGGTTCTATCTCTGTCAGCACCAATGAAATTGTAACCACATGCCTACCATGTGCACTGCAGTGCAAAAAATCGTGAAGAAACCTGCATATTTGTGAAATAGAAATATTTGGGTGATGTGTGATGTCTGGTGGATGGATACACACTGGAGCAGTGTGGAGGACAAGTTGCTCCATAACCCTCTAAAACTTCCTCTTATTTTTGCAGCAGTGGAACATCTTTTGACATCTCTTTTTTTTTATAACTGGCTTTACGGCTCTGGGTTCTAAGCCCTTCTAAGATTATTATCACTTGATACTGAGAGGCTCACTCTCAGTATCAAGTGATAATATAATATTTATTTAGTACTAACCTAACCATTTTAAACATAGGTTCTGAACCTACTTTCATAAACAAACGCTGTCGCACTATAATCGACCTCACACTTGCAACAGAAGGAGCAGCCAAACTAATTACGGGATGGCATGTGTCGAGAGAGGCCTCATGCTCAGACCATAGATGGATCTGCTTCGCACTACAGGTCGATATCCCCTCTACACCACCATGGAGAAATCCCCGCAAGACAGATAAAACTAAATACCTAAATAGGCTGACGTCTTTGCTAGCGGATTTTGAGGGGATAAATACTATAGCAGATCAGTCGCTCCTAGAAGAACAGGTAGCAGCTGTTACTAAGGCCATGATAGACAGCTACCATGAATCATGTCCAGAAATCACTCCACCAAGACATGCCGAGGTAAAACAACCGTGGTGGGGTAAAGAACTCGATAGAAAACGTAAGAAGGTAAGAAAAGCTCTAAATAGGGCCATGAATACCTCAATGGATGAAGACTGGCTATTATATAAGAAAGCTAAGTCTGAATACAAAAAATGTATCAGGTATCGACGCTCGATTGGGTGGCGTAAATTCTGTGGCAACATAGAAACCTGCAAACAAGCAAATAGGATTAGGAATATTCTAGCTAAACAGAACACGTCGGGATCCATGTCTCTAAAGAAACCCGACGGTAGCTACTCAACATCGCCGGATGAAGCCCAACGCATCCTAATTGAAACGCACTTCCCAGGTTGCTGCGTAACCCAGGAGGCAAACCGGCATGACGACATACTGACATCAACAGCAGAAGACTGGAATTTAGCACAGAGAGTGGTAACGATGGACAAAATCCATTGGGCCATTCACAGTTTCCTCCCCTATAAGGCGGCAGGACCCGACGGCATATTCCCGGCACTCCTACAGTGGGGGGGTAAAGCCCTAATAGTCAGACTTGCTGCCATAATGCGAGCCTGTCTTGCTCTTAAATATGTTCCTAGGGGATGGAGGGAAGTGAAAGTTACATTCATACCCAAACCAGGTAAGAGCGACTACACTGACCCTAAATCCTACAGGCCCATTAGCCTCACATCCTTTCTCCTAAAGACGATGGAGAGGATGTGTGAAAGGGAATTAAGGGGGTCGGCGCTAATGAACTTACCACTACACGACAAGCAACACGCCTACAGTCTAGGCAAATCAACAGAATCGGCCCTTCATAAGGTAATTACAAAGATTGAAGAGGCCATCCAAAACAAAGAAATATGTCTAGGTTCCTTCATAGATATAGAAGGTGCTTTTGACCGAACGAACTTCTCCAGCATAAAAGGTGCACTCGGTAGACACAAAGTTGAACCGGCACTGATCGACTGGATAGTTTACATGCTCAGTACACGAATAATAAAGATTGCTGGTGAATCTCAACCAATCCAAATTAAGAAAGGCTGCCCGCAGGGTGGGGTTCTCTCACCTCTCCTGTGGAATATGGTCATTAATGAACTCATCAGCAAATTAAATGACAATCACTTCTATACAGTAGGTTATGCTGATGACCTGACAATACTGGTCTCTGGAAAGACAGCAAGCATAGTGTGCGACCTGACCCAAGCGGCTCTCCGTATAGTGGAGAGATGGTGCAGGGAACACGACTTAACTGTCAATCCAAATAAAACGGTTTTAGTTATGTTCACTCAAAAACGAAAGCTGAATAACTATCATCCTCCAAGTCTTTTTAGCACAAAACTCCAGCTATCCTCTGAGGTAAAATATTTAGGTCTTACCTTGGACAGCAAACTTAACTGGAATAAACACATAGAAAACAAAATCAACAAAGCTAGTATAACTTTCTGGCAATGCAGAAACATGATTGGCAAAAGATGGGGATTGACGCCAAAAATCATACTGTGGCTTTACAAAACTGTAATTCGGCCCATGATCACATACGGCGCTCTGGTATGGTGGACCAAGACAAATGAAGCCACCATAATTAAAAAGCTTCAGCGCTACCAGAGACTGGCATGTATGGCTGCTACAGGCTGCATGAGAACTACGCCAACAGCAGCCTTAGAAGCGATGCTGGAGCTAACTCCGCTTCATCTACATATACAACAAGAAGCGACTTTAGCTGCCATCAGACTCAAGACCCTAAATCTTTGGAGTAAGAATAGTGTCCCTCATACAGGCATAATTGATAGAATTCACTCAAAAATTCCTATCCTACAAGCCAAATACGATAGGATTCCTAAACAATTTGTTTTCGATAAGAAATACAAGATACAGTTAAATGAAAACAGCCAGCCGGAAGGATTAAGCCCAAAAGAGCTTAAAATTTTCACCGATGGTTCTAAAACAAATGAAGGTGTAGGTTGTGGAGCTTTCTCTGAAGACCTCAATATTCACATATGCACACCGCTGGGTACCTATAACACGGTCTTTCAGGCGGAATGTATGGGTATCATTCAAGCGGCCATAGCAATAGATGCTAGGAAGGTTAATGACTTCCCCATCAGAATACTGACCGACAGTAGGGCGGTACTCCAAGCCCTGAGATGCAATGTGGTGAACTCGGGACTAATATATGAATGCCATCAACGATTAAATGAGGTATGTAAAAACAACAATGTGACCCTGCAATGGATAAAGGGACACAGTGGATCCAGAGGCAACGATGCAGCAGACGAACTTGCCAGAAGAGGATCGGCTTTGGCCACTATAGGGCCGGAACCAATCATACCAATCCCCTTTGGTAACGTTTGTTCACTGGTACGTAGACACTTTACTAATCAACACGCTCAGCTTTGGAAAAATCTAGTAGACTGTAGACAAGCTAGGGATGCCCTGCCTGAAATTAACAGTCGCTTAACAAAAGTTTTAATGAGACTGAACAAGCCGCAGATTAGGATAGTAACAAGTGCTATCACAGGACACGGCACCTTTAACAAACATTTATTTACTATAGGTGTTACAGATAGTCCCCTGTGCAGGGCATGTATGGGGGAGGAAGAAACGGCGGCCCACGTGCTACTGAAATGTCCGGAGGTCGCTACATACAGGGCTAAACATCTCGGCACGCCGGGATCACTCCCCGAAGTTGCATGCAACATCAAGGGCCTGTTGAGCTTCTTCGGAGAGATCTCATGGCTCGAATAATCACATTATTCCTGCCCACACGCAAAATACGCGCATAGACGTGGAGTTGCGGAAAACAGCCCGTCGTAAACTAAACTAAACTAAACTAAATCAAGTGATAATAATCTTATAGAGTACTGTTTCACAATATGTCGATGCGACACATTGCGCAGCCCTTGGGATTATTTGACGCCAACTTGAGCCAGCAGACAGTTGGTGATAGTATTTAAAGGTGTCTAAGCAGATAGACACCTATCTTGAGTCACATCGCCATTGGAGCACTTGTTTCACATGCCTAGACATTTAATACACAAAATCGCACCACTTACATATCAAAATCCACTTGAAACCATTATTTAAACAATGATACAGAAGCAGCAATCCGCCGCCGGCCAAGTTCGTGCCACAACTCCTTTGACATAACTCTTCTGTACAGTGTCCACAGAGTAATGTGAGAACCGTAATAAAGCCTTGATGCTGCAATGATGTTCATTGATAAACTTGAGATGAGAGTAAGGGTAGTTAGTCTCTTGTGTGAAATACAATAGGTTTTCAGTTTTTGTATTTATTTCTGTTACTTGATTAGAAACTTGTACAAAGCACTACTAGTGAATTTTGTGTAAACTATCCAAAGTGTTGAGTACAGTCTGCATCAAATAATGCATTCTGATAATTTATCTTTGGTATAATATGTGCTCTGTGATTTTGTTGTATAATTTCTACAGTGGAGTAGAAATTTGATTCACAAGCAGACATTTTCTGTTGGTTGTATATTAGTTAATTAATAGTAAACTGGAAGTTAAACAATTAAAACTGTCAATTATTTAGTAATTTGTTGAAAAACTAAAACATTCAAACTGTCAATTACAGGTTTACGATTCCGGTACCATCTTTGCCCCTGCCATCCTTGATATCAAGCCAGAGGACCTTCGTGCCAAGTTCATGGAGGGTGTTGCCAACGTCGCCGCTCTCTCCTTGGCCATTGGCTACCCAACTGTTGCCTCTGCTCCTCACTCTGTTGCAAATGGTTTCAAGAACCTGCTTGCTATTGCTGCCGTCACAGAGGTTGAATTCAAGGAGGCCACTACCATCAAAGAGTTCATTAAGGTATGCCTTTGAATTTGTTTAACAATAATCTCCATTTTCGGGTTTAAGAAATTATGCTATCATACTATAAACATATCATAATCCATAAAAGGCAACCAGAATTTAATAAGAAATATATTGTAATTTTCTCTACCAATTTCTCATTTTGAAATCAAAGACGTATAAGTCTTTATTGTTACAAATTCTTAAGAAGTTTCTAATATATATCTAATATTTGTTATTGTAATTCATCTAGGACCCGAGCAAATTTGCGGCTGTGGCTGCCGCAGTTGCCCCGGCTGCTGCCGCTCCGGCTGCAGAGAAGAAACAGGAAGAGAAGAAGCCCGAGAAGGAGGAATCTGAGAGCGACGACGACATGGGCTTCGGTCTCTTTGACTAAACAGTTGTCTGTGGCACGCTCGCACCCACTGTGTAGGCTCGTCTACGCCGCCGGGTTGGACACCCATATGGCGGCTTACGGTTTATACATAGCGGTTGCATGTGAATAAAAGCTACTTTGACCGTAATTTTGTTTTATTTTGCCTTAAAATCCTAGATACGTAGGACCCTCAATAAGTTTTAAAATATACAAAAGTATTCTAGATACTATTAATATTTATTTTACATTTTTTCAAAATATTCTCCATCATGCTCTATACAAAGTTCCATTCGCCTAAACCAACTCTGAAAACACTTGATCTGACAGGTCGGAAATCACTTCTTCGTAGGCAGCCACGGCTTCTTCGGCGCTTGAAAAAAATTTGCCTTTTATTTTTTCTTTGACTTGGTAACAAAAACTCGCAAGGAGCTCAGTCATGGCTGTAAAAAATGTGACTTAAGTCTTCCCCGAAGCCCGGTCTTTGGTCTGCTCTCCGGCACAGCTTGAAAAGCTCACAGTTAGTAATGCAACTGTAGTATACAATTCAGAGTTGACTGACCTACAATTTTCCAACATTGACGTTGGCAAATGTCCGTTCGCTCCGCGAATAATAACTATCCACCATTTGCCGACGTTCAGAGGTCTGCAGTTTTGTCGGTAACTGTCCTGAGTAGACCCATACCGACGATTGCCTTTTATTTTCCGGATTATATTGATAGATCCATGTCTCGTCACCAGTAACGATTTCTGAAACACTCCTAGATGCCCCGTTTTCAAAAAGTAGACTCAGTACATGGTAACAATCCACACGAGTCTGTTTTTCGCTTTCGGAGTGCAAACGAGGGATCCATCAACAACAAAGCTTCCTCACTCCAAGATGTTGATGTAGGATGGTATGGATGCTCCCCGAACTAATGCCTACAATCTTTTTGATGTCCGTATATGTGATTCGCACCAATATTTCAGTAGTCCATACAGTTACTGCTGTTTGCGGGGCCCCGGTTCTTTGGTATTCTTTAAGATTAATTTTATTGTAGTCTTGTAGTGTACCGATGGGCGATTATTACTAAATCTAATCGAAATAGTCGATTGTTCAGTTTATTCGATAGTCCATGTTCGTCTATTGTTATCGACGGCGTACGGCGGGTGACAATGACTGAAGGTTACCTTGTAAACTTTAACTAATAATTTGTAGCGCAACGCAGCCATTATGCGTACTATTAAATAAGTAGTTACAAATGATGGTGGGCGGTGCGCTTGCGCGCCGGTGCGGCAGTACTTTACGTTACGACTGCAGTTATTAGGTATGCAATTCGCGCCAATAGATTATTCAATAATTGTCTGTTTTGTATTGTAATCAAACCATCGATTGAGGGAACATCCATTCTAGACATGACGTTAATGGTTAAATTGATTTATTTGTTAATTTTTTTTAACAGACTTAAAAATAATAAGGTCAACTCGGCGAAGACCGGCATACTTAATTTAATGAAATACAAATAGTCTTAGTTTGGCTATTCTATAACCTTAAATTCAAATTTGGTTAAACTAGATAATAATATATTTAGTTGATCTGACAATAAATATGTTAAAATGACAAAAAGGCCACCGGTTCAGTAAATAAACATTTTTGAAAACACAGTGAAATAGACGGATTTGGCTCCCATGTCGGTTAAGACCGTCTAGTGGCGATTTTCCCTAGTTAGCGGTAGTTGGCGTAGTTACATATACGAATGCCTGTGTGAATGAATGTGTATTCGAATACCAGTTCCTGTAACAACTTAATATTTGTACCCTAACTCTCAGAAATAAGGTTATATTTCGCGAGATGCTGCATTTGTCGGGTAAGACGGGGATACTTTGCAGTTCCAGGGGTTCAAAACCTTAAATAATAACCAATGCTTTTTAATAGTAAGTAAAAAAAAATCAATAGTTATACTTGCTAAATTAAGTCAAAATTTTTTTTTTGTATTGTGCTTAGTATTAAAACGATGAGATCCAAAATCGTAGGAAAGTAATAACTTAAGAATCTATTCTTAAGTAAAGGCTTAATAAGACACCAAAGGATGACGATTTCTGTAAGTGGCGAAAACCGGCATTTGACATTTATTACCCTCCAAGACCTAGATGGACTTCCCCGCAACATATTTTGAGGTTAGTTTTTATTTTCATCAAGCATAACTTAGTAAAAAACGTGTAAGTATAATACTAATATATTTACTTATCAAATAGATATATAAGAATAAACTTACTTGCATAGATCTGTCAAATAATTGAGATCTAAACACTTATAACTTTTTTGTTAGAACGCGGTACACTCCCAATGAAAGTTGCTCACCGTACTAAACATATATCATATATACAGTAAAGTAATCTATGGTACTAAATAAACAACCGTACTTTTTTCCGTTAACACTACATATACCGCCATCTATGTCAATTGATAAGAACTAAAATGATTTTATTGTTACGCTGATTGTATTGACATCTTCATAGTTCTGCTGAATTCGTTGTAATTCTTGTTGTACGATCTTTCCCGATAGACGGTCCTCGCCGAGTTGACATTACTTTTGTATTGAATTTTCAAATTGTTGATGTCAATTTTATTGCTTAAATTTTACGCTTGATATTCAATAAAAAATTCTTCATACTTTGATAGGTACATGACTCTAGTATTAAAATGTCAATAAGTAACTAAAGTAAACAAATTAAAATATGTATTATGAAATACTTAAAAACAATCGACGCATTCAACACTGTCCTGCACGCACCGCCCCGCGCGGCCTCCTACAGTTCACCGCACGCACAAGCATCAAGCACTCGTCGTTGCATCGACCCACACAGCTCACACCACATGTATTACATAGCGGCGGATAGCAGTGTGCGATGTGCATACAATTAGTAGTTTGTCGATTATTATTTGAATAATCATCGTGAGGAACTACTAAATCGACAATCGAATGGACAATATGCACGACAATAGCACAATTTGCGATTTAGTCGATTGTTTTTTTTTGCAACTTTCGCCCATCGCTACTGTAGTGGCGGTGTGGTAATATCCATTACCCTATATTATAGACACGCGTTAGGTGACAGAGGGAAATTGAACAGTAGATGGGCAGCACCATCGTCCTGATAAAACTAGAAATTATAATAAACTGCGTTTGCCAACCTGCCTGCCAAGCGTCGCAACTATGGCTTCTTAGTCCTAAAGTAAGATAGATGTATCTGCCTTCATAATTACGATTCATAATCGAGGATAGATGTTATGTCAATGGGCCACAACATCCTCTTACCATCTTGCTTGCATTGCATGCCATCTTGACTGCATGCTTGTTTGTCATCCATAAACCCACAAAAAAGTGATTTAATTTCAAGTTATAAAACAAGACCCTGTAAAAATATAGATATTAATTAGTTTGCTTATGTAATTGTTTCAAGATTTTGTTAGGTATTTTACACATCAAAGTAGGGCTAATAATTATTCGCTCACTAGATGTTGCTAGTTGGGACTGAGGTGAAGTTATTTTTTACACTCTCATTAAGTAAAAAATGAAGTTGCATTTTAAATATATAATAAAAAATACGTTTTCTAGTGTATGTACCTATGTACACAAATTAATTACGTAAGGATGATTTTGGCAATTTTTGATCCCCCCTACCCCCATGTAAGGGCATAATAAGATTTCTCGATTAAATGAAAATGAAATAGGGAATCAGTTGATGTAATTCTGAAGCTAATAAAAAAACCCCGGTCTCGATACGTCAATTTTTTCGGGAGTTGTCGTGATCACATACAAAATAAATATCCGGACGTCCACGTAATTTTTTTCACACAGTTTTTTCAAAGTACTAATTTTAAAATGGATTAATTCCAGTGTTTTCTTGATATACGGCTACTCGTATTATTGTATAAGTTTAATATGGTTATGATAGAAGCATTTTAAGAACACTAAATTGCTTGACCTTGACATGTCCAGAATAATGCATTACCTAATAACGCTTCGCGTGATGAGGGGTGCAATATTAAATTTCAACTTACAAATTATTACGTAAGAAGGGGTTTTACCCACCGCCCCAAACAAGATAAGGGCATGTAGAGATTTTTAACCCCCCCTCCCCCTCGGGGCCCTTACGTAATTAACTTTTTCGGATTTTTGGCTCTAACTTTTTGCACATTTTTACTCTCTATTAATTCTTTTGCTTTCAGGAATGTGTAGGATTTTAATCCGTTTGAACTAATATTTCTCAAAGAAACATTTACCTTTATATTTTTTTAACAATTTTACTTCCAATCAATGACATCTGTCAAATATTTCACCTCATTCTTAAGTGGCACTGCTCTGGTTTCTTCATTGGCCCTCATTTTCTTAATTACCTTTACGACTATTTACGGCCGAAAAAATATGTAAAAATTTAACGGGTGGACCAGTTTTTTGGCACGCAAGTTACACAACATACCGTTGCTGAAAAAAAGACTATTTCGTGTCAAACGATTTTATTTCTTTGGTTTTTATTCTAAGAAGTTGTAACGTCGCGAAGCATTGTCGCTCATTGAATAATACCTAACTAAAATTTATCTTATAATACAGTAGCCCCTCCTGTCACCAATTGAGGAGAAAAAATATACAGATATATCACATAAGGTACAATTTATAAATACATAAGAACGAACGTAAACTTTACAGATAATTAAATGATCACATATTTTTAAAACATAAAACGTATTTTAAAACAAACTTAAAATTTGCTTTAATACTAAATAAAGTTCAAGGTGTTAGTAGTAGCTCAAGTCAACATTATTTTCTATGAATATACAATTAAAAGATTAAATACAACACATGATTTCAAACAATTTTAACTATATTTTTTAAGCATGGCAATTTTCGAACGATATCTGATGCTTGGACTTGTGCTAACTTATATTGTTATTGATTTTTCCTGACATAACAATGTCTGCTGCCATTTATTTACATTATAGGTAATTTTGTATACATAAAAACACCTCTTATTTTATTACAAAGTCCCTAAAATTTGAACAATATTGCAAGTTTGTAATAATTTTTTTTTCTAGTATAGTTAATTATGGACCAAGTGATTAATAAGGTATTATTCATAATGTCCAGATTGTTTGAAAAATGCCCAATATAAGTAGGCACTATGATAAAAACTATTGAAATAATTAAATTTACCGGACTTTAGGAATAAACTTATTGGGAAGAGTAATAAAAACAGATTACTTTAAATCAGTGTTAATTACATAGCCCGATTTCACTAGTCATTATTCATATTGCCCGGGCATTATAAATAGTGCTCTGATAGCAAGATGATGAGAACAAAGTATGGTACGGATAGGAAAGTAATCGATAGTTAAAATCGATATTTAAGAATCTAAAAAAGTGTGCGAATCATTGCCCGAACAATGAAGGAACTATAATCACTTGGTCCCCATAACCCTTAACTTCGTCTATTCCTTAATGTTTGTAACTTATTCTTTTACATAATATATTTATTGATTGTTGAATTCGTACATCGATCCAATCAATTTGTCTAACTCATAGCACCTGAAAATAACTAATTAAGGTGGACGTTTGCTTGAATTCATAGTGGCTAAATTAATTCAGAAATAAATAGCTGCTGCTTAAAATGGTTGTGTTGGATGTACCTATTCAATTTAATATTTGCAAATTGTTACCAGTGTTGAAAAATCTCACAACCCTCTAATGAACAGACCCACATACCCTTTTCTACAAGAAAGTTAATAATGAGTGAGATTAAAGATTCATCCTAGGTACGAAATAAGGCAATTACTTAATTAATTAGCCTTTCACATATAAACTGAGGGTTGTAAACTTAACTACAGCGCGGTGAAACCCCAAAGCAGTGTCCAAGTGCATTATTCGATTCATGTAGTGCATTTAAAGGTGGACATATGCGAGCTTCACTTAAACTTATATATTGCAAAGACTATATTTGTATTGGATTTGTAACTTTAGGTAATTTAAAGATTCGATAGACATTCGGTTTTATTGTGAATTTTTGAAGCTATATTTTTATTATGTTTACTCTAATACAGCTAATTTTAAATGATATCAAATTTGAAAGTAGAAAGCAATTTGTTTATTATTCACTCACAATTAGGTTGCATTATTTTTAAACCAAAAAGTTATTGTGTAAATAAATAAAAACATTTTAAGAATAAATGTATACAAATTTGTAGCGATTTTTTTTATTTTACACATAATACGTCAGTGTTATGTTTTACCATTGTGTTGAGCAGCTAGATATTTTATACATTTTAACATTTATAAATTCTGACTACGAATTCGGTATTATCTTGTATTAAAACAATTATATATCCTACCAAGTAAACCCCATAAGCCTTTTTATAATGTCAAGATTTTGTTCTAAAAGGCCACTGTAGTTTGAAATACGGTAAATCAAATTTCGAGACAGTGTATACATAATGTAACTGTAACAATTTTTCACACTTCTAATAATTGAGTCTATTGTCTATGGCGAGGAGTCGTATTCGACATGGAACAGTTCCGTACAAACACAAGGGCGTTGTTAGCGTGCCCGTCCCATTAGTGGTTACACGTACAAGAGATATTTAAGCGCCAAACGCGTTCATAAGACCACGTGTGGAGGCTCGGTTTCGGCGGGAGATACTGGAAGGGCTGCTACCCCTAGTAAAAAAGCGTAATGTTATGTTACATTCAATAAATTAAATACACAATATATCTACGAGGTAGAGCCTTGTTGTAGCTATATTATGGTTGTAGCACGAATGGGTCGACTCGACCGGGAAGGACCACGTTCTCACAGAATACCAGAGTAAAATATCCGCTAAATGCTGTTGTGTTTCATATGGTGAGTGTAGAGAACCGGAGACTCTTTTTGCTGGATACAAGGCATTCCATCTTAGTCTTCACGGGTGACAACCCATCTGCATTTTGATTCTTTTTCGAGGATAGATGTAGATGTATATGGGCCACCGCACTCACAATCAGGTGGGCTGAGTACTAACTTGTCACCCTTATTGTAAAATACAGTGCGTGTTGCCTGTGAACATCTACGGGCCTGAGACGTATTCCTTCACTTCTAGTAAGATAAGAGTAATTGTCGCTTAGAGAAGTATGAAGAGGGCTATTCTTGGGGATTCTATGTGAACAGAATCCGCAGAAAAGGATACAAGTGGCTCAACGGGGTTAGCCAAGTTGACTTTCTACAATTGTTACACTTGACTTAACATTGACTTATGTCATTTATCTGATGCAACACACATGTACTTTTATACTAATTTACTCTAGCGGGTAGCGAATGTTTAACATTAATTATAGTTCTTAATATTATGTGACTTTTTTATGTTACTAAGTACCTAGTTTAGTCACTGAATTTACGTGTGTAATTGGAGAAACAAATAAATGCTTAATCTATCTCTATTTCCTTTGCTTTTTTGCTGACTTCAAAAAGAGAAGGTTCAGCTGTACGTTCTTTTTTTTTGTATGTATGTTATGCGATATCTTCGTCAATTGTGAACCGATATTAATAATTACTAAAGTAATAATGACACTTTAGTAGAGAAATAGAGGATGAAGTTTTTCATGTATATAACTATTTAGACAACATTCTAGTTGTAATCTTTGGCGTGTGGTAATTCCACTCGAAAGGGTAAAAAAAAAGTTTAGTGTTATAGTTTTTTTTAATTATCATTAACGACTGTAGAATGTTATATTGGCTAACCCCTTTTAGCACTGTGTGTTTGTTTGTGTTTATTCGAAGGTTTTGTTTAGTTGTGGACTCGTGATGGGTTGCATGTTGACAAGAATCGTGGTAGCTCAAGTGCATCACTAAAATATTAATTACAATTTTAAGTGCTGATTTTCCCACACGCTCGTCGGTGAATGAAAACCAGCATGTCTGTGAAATTTACACGCAGTAACTTGACGGTCTCTTCCGTACTCTAACACCCATTTTTTTTGTTTTTTTTTAGATTCAATATGGATTATTACATAATACTTATTGAAAGTCATTATTTTATTTACCATTGGTTCGGAAAATATCTCTGTCCTGGGAAGAACCAGCAAGAAACCCAGCGGGACTTTTTTTTAAACATAATTTCCCTTAACAATAATTTTGTTTACACAATTTTAAATGAATTTTCATAGAACCAGCATGGTGGCCACCTTATTCCCAGGGGTTATTTTCATTCATGTATTCCTTGATATTATAATAACCGTTTTCGTACAGTTTTTCTTTAATAAAACTTTTAAACTTGTTTATTGACAAACTTTGAACATGTTCTGGGATTTTGTTGTAAAAGCGTATACATTGCCCCATAAATGAATTACTAATTCTGTGGAGTCTAGTAACTGGCATTACAAGCTTATGTTTGTTCCTAGTGTTTAAGGTATGAACATCCTTATTCTTATTAAAGCTATTTATGTTTTTATGTACATACATTACATTTTCATAAATATATTGTGATGATAAAGTTAATATGTTTATTTCTTTAATTTTTTTAAAAGACATGAGAGGAGGCCTGTACTTAGCAGTGGGGTGTATGTAGATTATGACTTAACTTTAAATTAGACTGGTGTGATTAGTGGAGGTACAAGATAATGCATAATTTCATTAAGATATGGGTATAGTAAGAGGCAGCTTATTTATAAATTTATCACGAAATCTAGTCGCATCATACTGTATTTAACTAAAAATAAACTTAAGTGTGTGTGTATGTATGTGTGTAGTGGCGTGTAAGTGCGTACGTGTGTACGTGTAGTGGCGGTGTAAGAATATGCACTACCCCATATCATCCCGTGGGTGTCGTAAGAGGCGACAGAGCGAAACAAATCAGGAGATGGAGAGCATCATCTTCCTAATAACGTCTAAAATTGCCTTGTTTGCCTTCTAAGTGGTAACTATGAAAAAATATCTCCCTAAGATGCGATTCATGCCATGTCTACATTCAGAAGTGGACTTATATATACAGGCTGTAAAGAATTAATGACGCGATCAATCTGTAAATTATTAACATTTTGTTCAGAGGTAATGGGATGTATTGATGAGGATTGTGAACAATCAAAATGGGTAACATTTTTAGTGTTTCAAAGCAAATATTGATAACATGACTGTTGGGCTGTAATGGTAATGATGACGATGAACAAATATGTGCAGTTACCGATGTGTGCGCGCGCGTCGCTGTTGATGGAGGCGTCGTGGCGGCGCGGCCGGCGCGCGCGCCGCGTGCGTCGCCCGCGCCGCTCCGCCACCAGCGGCTGCGTCTCCTCTTCCCCAACACTGCCGATGACATTTTCTTTTTTAGTTAATTGTGGCATTGGCTAACAGGCCTCTTGCCATCATTCATTGTGGCATTGGATACAAGGCCTTCTGCCATAATTTATTGTGGCATTGGATACAAGGCCTTCTGCCATAATTTATTGTGGCATTGGATACAAGGCCTTCTGCCATAATTTATTGTGACATTGGATACAAGACCTTCTGCCATAATTTATTGTGGCATTGGATACAAGGCCTTCAGTCATAACTTATTATGGCATTGGATACAAGGCCTACTGCCATAATTTATTGTGGCATTGGATAACGCTTTAAATATGTTTTAACACATGAAGGTGGGTTTAACTTGTCTTACTTCCACAACTTATTCTGCCACCAGCGCGGCACCACTTAGGATGGAGTGAAAATTTAACTTTTAAATGAAGAATAATGACACTATTTAACAATTTCTACACTTCAATCCCAACTAGCGACATCAAGCGAGCGGAAAATTATTGAAATTTTCGCGGGAACTTATTCGCCAGCGGATTGTGGTTCCTGTATTATTGATAAAACAGTATATGTATATCAAATGGTAATGATAAAACAAGTGCTCCGATGGTGATGTGAAACCTCAAGTTGTTGTCTGCTTCACCATTTAACCGTCCACCCCGCGCGAGTGATTCTCGCCTCATCTGTCCGCGCATTAAATGTTACTATTTTTTTACGACTGCGCGAGACTGTCTCAACAAAAAAGGGTCACTACTGAAAAACAACTATAGCTACATTTAAATAAAAAATATTCTCAAAAGACTCAAAGAATTAAAAATTTAATTTTGTTAAAAAAATAGTCAAATGAAAAATAAAGGCTGAAAATAAAAATATGATAAAAAATAGTATTTATTTTTTAATTTCGAGTTTTACGAGAAAAGTACGAGGGGCACACTGAAATGATCGGCAATAGAATATTTCGGATTGAGTTACAATAAAACCTTTTTTAGAATTTGAATATTGGCCTCTTAGAATCTTAATGACATTCAAATAATTAAAAAAAATGTTTAAAAACAAAAAACTATGTTGGCTTAAAGTTGACACGTAACAGAAATGGAGCTCGAGCGTGAACATTTCCATGACATAATTTATCACAATTTTCGTCGCGGCTTATCTCAAGATAAATGTCTCAGCGAACTTGTTTCGATTTATGATGTTGAAGCACCGAGCCAAACAACAATATACCGCTGGTATGACGAGTTCCGACGCGGTCGCGTTTCGCTCAGCACTGTTTCTTCTGCATGTCGATCAAGAAAAGCGGTCACGCCTGAAAACATCGCAGTTGTGCGAACTACTATATTAGATGACCATCATGTGACATAAGAGCAGATTCGGTCTGTTATCAGTATCGGAATGACTGCAATTCAGTCGATATTACATAATGAGCTGTGTGTAAGAAAGCTAGTTTCCCGCTGGGTTCCCCAAAATTTGTCCGAAGAGAGCAAAAGGTGGCTCGTGTAGATTGGTGCCGGAATACTCTGCAACGTTTCAACGGAGGGAAGTCTAATGCCGTTTATAATACCGTCTCAGGTGACGAATCATGGATATATTCATACGAACCTGAAAGAAACCATCAGTCAGCAGTTTGGGTCTTCGAAGACGAGGTCAAACCAACGAAAGTGATTCGCTCCCGCAGCGTGTCAAAGAAAATGGTCGCTACGTTTGTCTCGAAAAAGGGGCATGTTGCTTCAATTCCTTTACAGGAACGCAGAACGGTTACCGCTGAGTGGTATATCACAGTTTGTTTGCCAGAAATGATAGCCGAACTCCGAAAAAATAACCTGAAACGTCGCATCATCTTACATCATGATAATGCGAGCTCCCATACGGCTCAGAAGACAAATGATTTTCTGAAGCAGGAAAACGTTGAGCTGATGGGCCATCGTCCGTACAGTCCTGACCTGAGCCCATATGATATTTTTTTTTATAGGAGAGGGGGCAAACGAGCATGCGGCTCACCTGATGGTAAGTGACTACCGCCGCCCATGAACAACAGCAATACCAGGGGAATTGCAGATGCATTGCCGGTCTTTTAAAAAGGAGTAGGCTCTTTTCTTGAAGGTCCCTAAGTCGTATCGGTCCGGAAAAATCGCTGGTGGTAAACTATTCCACAAGGAAGTTGTGCGAGGAAGAAAACATCTTCTAAATCGCACAGTGGTGGACCGCCAATCATCCAGATGGTGTGGATGGTATCGGGAGTTCTGCCGCGATGTGCGTTCGTGAAATTTGGCGGCTGGGATTAATCCGAACAATTCCTCAGAGCACTCCCCATGGTAAATGCGAAAGAAAATGCTAAGAGATGCAACATCTCTTCGCAGTGCCAATGAGTCGAGCCGATTGGAAAGGACTCGGTCGTCCACGATTCGAGCCAGTCTGCGCAGGATGCGGTCAAGTGGAAGAAGCTGGCACTGGGGAGCCCCAGCCCAGAGATGGGAACAGTATTCCATGTGAGGCCGAACCTGCGCCTTGTAAAGTTGCAGGCGTTGAGCCGGCATGAAATACTGTCCCGCTCTGCTGAGCACGCCAAGCTTTTTAGAGGCCAATTTGGCCTTCTCTTCCAAGTGACCACGAAACTTCACGCTACTCGATATGTCGACGCCGAGGATTCCGATACTGGCTGAGGCAACAAGGGGAGTACCTTGAAACTGAGGAGATACGACAAAGGGGTTCTTTTTAGCGGTAAACGCGCAAACTTGTGTCTTCTGAGGATTAAACTGGACTAGATTTAGTCGCCCCCAATCCGAGACTTTGTCCAGCAAAGACTCGACTTCAGACACAAGTTTGTTCCGGTACTCGGTGACGTTTTCTTTACATTTCTTTTCTTTACATTCGTTTTCTTTACATTCCCTAGAATGAAAGATTTATTACGCGGTCAACGGTTTGAAGACCCCGAAGCAGCTGTGGAAGCGTACAAATCAGCCTTTTTGTCAACATCAACTTCAGATTGGAATTACTGTTTTAATGATTGGTTTGCACGAATGGAAAAGTGCATTAAGTTGAACGGAGAATACTTCGAAAAACAATAAAATACAATTTAGCTATACCGTGCATATGGTTTTTCTTATTCCCGATCATTTCAGTGTGCCCCTCGTATAATATTTACAGGAGACAATTATTTTATATTATAATAATACATGATACTTTAAAATGACATCAATATTGTTACGCGCTTGGGGTTCGAGACAATTAAAAACTGCCGATTGAATTACCAAAATTGACACTTTAATTACACAACACGAATTACAACTAAAACCACACTAATAATAGAACACAATTCGCCTTTATTTCGCTTCGAAGTATTCTCTTGTATCGCCAATTCAATACTGCCTCGGTCGTGGTCTATACCGGCCTTATATAGGGCCTCAGATAGTTTCCAGAATCTTCTACTGTAGCGACATCTAGAATGTTCGAGTACATATCGGTCCCGAAATTTCTGGAAGGATCTTGACTCTCCTAGTTCTGCTACTCGACACTAGAGGGCGCTAGTGTAACTAGTGTTGCCATGTACAAGACATTAATAATGGCGCGCAATACTTTCATTTACTCGACACTAGAGGGCACTAGTGTAACTAGTGTTGCCATGTACAAGACATTAATAGTGGCGCGCAACACTGCCCCCTCCTAAGACATGCTCGTCCCGAGCATTATTGGCCCCATAATAACGCGCCAGTCGATCCACATGGACAATCTTAGGAGTACCTCTGGCACCTTTCTGTATCCGGTAGGTTACATCATTGATCCTTGTCACAATCCGGTACGGTCCGTCCCATTTAGCTTGAAGCTTAGGAGATCTCCCTTTGCTGCGAACTGGATTGTGTAACCACACTAGTGAACCTTCATCAAACCCCTTGTTGTTCATTTTGCGGTCATACCGTGTTTTCATTTTCTCATACGTTTGCTGGCCCGTCTGTCTGACGTGCTCATAAATGTCATTCATTTTGTTCCGCAAGTCATTTGCATAATCGGTTATACTGCGTGGGGCATCAGGTGGTATTCCGGTGATCAGGTCTGCAGGCAGCCGTAATTCTCTCCCAAAGTTTGCGAAAGCTGGCGTCACTGACGTACTTTCGTGAACAGCGCTTCGATATGACAACAAAAACGGTTGTATGTGCCTGTCCCAGTCTCGTTGCCGTTTTTCCACAACTTTTGCCAGGTACCTTTCCAATGTCTGATTAAATCGTACTACCATTCCATCAGATTGTGGGTGGTAAGAAGTTGTTCGTGTTTTATGAGTACCCATAACTCTGCAAGTTTCCTGGAATATTTGAGACTCGAAATTCCTTCCTTGATCGCTGTGAATCTCTAAGGGTACTCCAAAACGACAGAAGACTTCATGAACTAGTTTATCTGCAACTGTTGAAGCTTCTTGATTTGGAATGGCGAAGACTTCTGGCCACTTAGTGAAGTAATCCATCACAACCATGAAATACTTGTTACCACTTTCACTTTCCGGAAACGGCCCCGCAACGTCAATGGCTATCCTCTCCCATGGTGCACCAACATTGTACAATTTCAATGCGCCTCTACTACGAATTTGAGGTCCCTTTACAGCCGCACAACTTGTACATTTGCGGCACCAGTCCTCGACATCGTCACGACAATGGACCCAGTAAAACCGTTCTCGGATCTTCAGGAGAGTTCGTTTAACTCCCAGGTGGCCTCCTGAAGAACTACTATGGTACAGTTGTAGAACATCCGGTACTTTAGCCTTAGGGACAACCATTTGCAAATGACATCTGTCTCCCCGACCATTTTCCCATTTACGGCACAGGACTCCATCCTGAATCAGCAAGCTGTCCCATTGGGCCCAATAGCTTTTCGTGGTCGAACTCATTGCTGAGACGTCGCTCCACTTGGGCTTAGGAGTACTGGCCTTCATCCATTCCAGAATCGGCTTAATAACCGAATCTTCCTGCTGTGCATGTTGTAGGCTGTCCTTCCACTCATTGCTGAGCTGGTCTGTCCTGAGCATTCTCACAGATACCACTTCCTCACCCTCTTGCCTAGTACA